AAGTTTTTTTCCCCTCTTAATCATGCAAACCTTAGGGTTTATTTTTGGTGATGTATGTGTACCCTTTTTTTCTCTTAATCATGCAAACCTTAGGTGTGTTTTTTTGTGATGTATCCAAATAAGCTTATTAGAAGGGAACTATTCTTGTCTGACCATGATAGATAAATTTGATAGTGGTTGGAAAATCATACATTCCGATTTAGCTCAATCCGGTCTTATGCATTACTTGCTGCATTTAAGACAGTAATGTCCTTTCTATAGCCGTTTGTCGATCCAGATCTCATATAGGTGAACATAATTTGCGTTGCGTGGATAAGTCTACAATTATGGAGTAGTACTCCTTTACTGAACAAAATTATTTAGTTTAATTTCATTGCTTTAAAATCATTCAGTCATAGCGATGAGGAAAAACTAAATCAAAAGTCAGTATTCAGTGACTCTTTTACTGGGGTTAAAAGTTAACAGTTTACAGATAGTTCTTATTATCTGAATATGCCTTTATGCTACACGCATTAGTGGTGTCTAGTTGATTTAGTTATAGTTCTACACTTCTACACTGTTTTGAGTTAGCTTTCATTGCTTGCTTCATTATCATATTTTGCTGTTAGTTCACCTGATGCTTTCTGATATTTTTTTTCAGAACTGTGTTTTTATTCCTTATTTCGTTTTTAAGGAGTGTTGGTCTATGTTTATTGTTGTTTGATTGGAGCTAATTCATTGTGATTTTCTCAAATTTGACAGGGATCCTTTCTTGTTTCTTCAGCTGTTACGAATGTTGAAGCTAACCAATATGCAAAGGCTGAAAACTTGGTAAGACTTATATATGAGTAATTACTGAACGTGGTAGCCTATGCAATTTATGCAATTGATTTGGGTTGATATACTCTTTTTGAAAGAGAGAGAGAGGGGAACTTTGATATCTTTTTAAAGTGGACTCAACAACATTTAAATAGATTTTTCTTACAAGAAATAATTATTCAGAAGGCTCTGTTTTTGCAGTAGGAGAATATAAAGTTTAGCATTCAAATATTTTAATTTAAATTTACACCGTGAGAGGATTGATTACACAAAATTAGTTGATGATACTAGACATCGGTACTATGAAGGGAGAAGTGAAGTTGCATAGGACATGAAATGATACAAAAGTTAATTGGAATATACATAATGAGATTAACAACACCTGGAACAATATCCATAAAATGGCTTGGCGAGAGTAGTGTTAGGTAGCACTTTCAAGTGTTAATCTTAAGTAGCATCTTTTTGATATAGGAACTATGATAAAAATTCCACTTAAGCATCCTTTGGTGAGAGTATTAACATGATCCATGATTTCCTCGGAAATTCTTGATGTGTTACAACTAGAAACCATGTGCAAGTATTTGGCAGATTATGTTTTATGACTATGTTTTTTGAATTTACTATTTATAATGATGCCTAATTTTGCACAGATAATATTCTAAATGTTTTATCATATTCAATGCCGATTGTCTTTCAACTTTGTGTTGCTTTAAACACTGTTGACGTTTTCCAATGTATGAAAATTCAAATACAGATTACCAGCTCACAGGGGCATATAGGACCTAGTTTGCTATGATGACTTTGTTCTTTTTTCTTTTTTTTCCTTTGCTTAGCAGTCATTTTTCTTTGTTGTAGGTGCTTCAGGGCGATGCTTTGTTGGGACAAAAGGAATTTCGTAGGGCACTGGTAAAATACATCAATTACTGTAGAAAATAAAAGTTTTGTAAACATACTAGAGAAAGTAATTGATTACAACTTACTTATGTTTTAATTCTAGAATTACATATTATTGGTGAGTGCATATTGCTGTTTCCTTTTCCCCCCCAGAAGTTACATAATTTCATCATCTCTCTTTATGTTAATATGCATCATCATCATCACCATCACCATCATTTAAGCTTTCTCCCTTCAGAAATGTTGTCACTATGGAGCAGACTCTATACGCAAAAAGCTTCCCTGGAAATTTGACCAAGTTTTATGATGGGCGTCAACCATCTGAGATGACTTGCTGCTAGGGTACAAAATAATATCGGTATCTGCAGATATATCCATATATATATCAATTGGGATATGTTTACTAAATATCTATATCCAATATGATATGATTATGAATAGGAATATGTAGTGAAATATCTATATCCATATCCAAATATATGTTGATCATACCATTGCAGTTGTTTTAATCTTTAGATTAATGATTTTGAGGTTAATTTTGATGATGAAGAGATCTAATCGCAGCTTTTCAAATGCAATGAACATATTCGTGAACTCTCTTTGTATCACATGAAAGTTTCTCAAACATCCGAATCCGAATTAATGTGTGATTCATCCTATTATATTTTAATCGCGGGGGGGGGTTGGTATCTCCAGATATTTTTATGTGCTGGTGTAGTGATGTGGCTTTTATTATATCACTTCAAAATGGTCCCCATATGACTACCCACTAATTGACTTGAGTGCCACATCACTACCAAGGATACCCATATTCCTTATGTATTTATGCATGCATGCATGTGTATATGTATTTATGTATCCGATTTTGGTGGATGTAGATATGAGTTTTCTTTACCGAGACATTTCACTATCAATGATTGCTCAACGGGTGTTATGGCATTATGGCAATGATGTTAAATCAGCTTTCTAGATTTGGACAAACAATGTAGTAGCCCCCACCCACCCACACAAACACACCCAGAGAGTCAGAGACACACCAAAGGAGCCACATACCATGCTTCCTTTTCTTTATTGAAGTACTTTCCAGAAACGTGATAAACTTAAACTAGCTTTATTTGATATACTCTTTGGAAACATGCGATTCTTGATGTTGGTAACTACTGTCTTTGTTGCTGACAGAGTATGTATAAACAAGCTTTGCAACATTGCAAGATTATTCCTAAGCAAACAACCAATCCTAGAAGTTCATTATCCACATCAAGTAGATCATCTTCACCAAATTCTATGATTGTTTCAGCAATTAATGAAAATGAGGTAGGTTATCATTTTATCTTATTCGAAGATGTATTATTTGATGCTTTTGTCTCTCATTTCTTTGTAAATGGTAAATTTTTCGTATGTCTCTTTTATTGGCAGGTGAAGTTCAAAATTACACTTTGCCATTGTGCACTAAGTGAGAATCGTGCTGCGATGTTAGAGGTTTCTCCTTGCTTTACTTTTAATAATTGTTGTGCTTATTGACCCCTTTGCTTGAATGTTTAGCGGGATTAGCTATTATGCCAATTGTTCCTGTTAAGAGATCTCAAGATGCGGCAAAAATTATTGTAACTCTCATTTTTATACATCATGCTATAGGCTGACTTAACAAAGAAAATTTTAAAATGTGAAATTAGGAGTTCTGAATGGTTGCGATGACAACGAAGAAGCTTGTTAGGTGAAGCTGTCAGCCTCTACTTGAAATTGTAACTAAGAGTTTTAACTGTTTGATTACCATTCTTTTCTCTTGTTATCCAACCTTAGAGGTACTGTCATTAACCAGGCTCTTATTGTTTTAGGATTTCATTGCTAAATTTGCTGTATAGATGTGAAAACTAGGTTCCTGACGACGGGACCCTTCATAATGTAAAGAATTTAGAACTATGAGGTTTAAATTTATTGTAAAGATTTCTGCAATACCAGGGAAGAAGGAAAATTATGTCCAAAAAGGACCTATGAGTGCTCACTTTTATCACTTGGGTCAACCATTCAGTGGTATGATGTTGACCAGGCTGTCTATATTGCATGTGGAAGTAGATAGCTAGTATAGTACTGCACCATCACTAAATACACGTTCAATTTAAAGGGAAGTTTTACAACTAGGAGGAGCGATGGTATGTTTAAAAAGTTAAGGTTGATTCATTGAGATGAGATCGAATCTTGAGATGGTTTTGATATATGTTAACGAGCAGTGTTATCGAGGCGCAAGACGCAATGCGGGGAGCAAAGGTCCCTTACGCAGTTACGCGCACCACACGCAAGATGCACAACGAGGCGCGCGTCTCACTAATTGAGGTGCATAACTCAAACTAATATTTGCCAACATCATAAGACAGAAACATATAAGCAACATATTAGTTACCTACATTCAAAATTATGAGAATATCAACTTAAATCATCAAATTATGCTAACTGAATTTTTAAAGTAACAAAAAAGATACAAGAAACATGTATTTAAATCATCAAATTAAGTGATTAACAATTATGAGCATATGTTTATAAATTGTCACATAAAAAGACTAAGAAATATAATTAACAAACATGACTGTTTATAATTTTCTAGTTAGTATTCTTAATTGATATTTGCTACTTAGCATGAAAAGATAAAGAATGAATGTAACAATTACATATTTACATGTTCATAATTTGCTAGTTAGCATGCTAATTAGAGAAGGAAGTTACAATTAGCAAACAAGTATACTAAATTACTAATTATTATTTTGTTTTTATAGGTTAAACATGAAAAGATGAAAATAGATTAGCAACTAGTAAGAATGAGTATATTACATGATATAAATATGTAATTATGTAAATTATTTTAAAAAAATAGAAGAAAAAGTATGTCACATAATGCAGGTGCGAGGCGCACGTGAGGCGCACGTGAGGCATGAGCAAGGCGCACGCGAGGCGAGCGCCTCGTTGCGTGCAGCTCCCCGCCTCGCGTCCTGGGCACATTTCCCTCAGGCCGAAGCGCCCCGCGTCCGGGGCGCGCGCCTCAATATGCCTGTTAACGAGACTGGTAAGAGTACACTAATTAGTAGAGTTTGTTGTTCTAGTGGAAGTACTTCTTGTAGATGTTCGGTAATAGTCTACCTGACTTAAGTAAAAAACACTGATGCTTGCTAAGTTGATAGAGAAAAGCTCTCTCAATAGTGCTGAAAGTAGTAGGAGATTCGTACAGTAGAAGGCATGGATAAAGGTTTGTTGTAGTGTACGTCGCCAACCTTAGTATGAATGCATTTTGTTAGCAACAAACTTAGGCTTCTTGTCATAGTTGAACTGGCTTGACATTCTTCTGGTTGTGGTACTTTTGACAAGTAGTCCTTGGTGCTGTGTTCAGCAAGATCTGCCAAGATAGTGCATTCTTTGACACCAATTCCCATAGTTCTAGTTCCTAACTCTAATGTAAGAATTAACATTGACAGTTTCTTTATTAAAACTATCTGATGTTCCATTAGTGCCAAGGTTATAAATATCAGTTATCGGGGATTTATCGGACGGATAAAATCCATATCGGATAGTGGATATGGGGGATAAGTAGTATTTATCGGAGTGACATTACTGGATGGTGGTATACATAATATAATATTCTAAAATGTAATCTAATCATACTTAATGAAATATAAATATACCAAAATGTAAATAATAATGCTTAGGATCACTAGCCAGCTATAGAAACTCAGGTAGGATCGGTTTAAAGTGCATTGAATAGGTGCCCGTTGCCCAAAATCAAAACTCAAATCAAATGCCGATAATTCCGATTTTTGGACGGATAATATCGGCCGATAACTCACTTTATCGCCGTATTATCGGCGATAAACATCAAAAAACGATAACCGATTTAGAATTGAACTTATCATAGCGGAAGGTCCCAAAACCGATAAATCGCCGATAATATCGGTTTATCGGCCGATATTTAAAACATTAATTACCGCTGTGAATATGGGTGCAAAACGGTTCAGATATATCACATAACTGATTCGGTCCGCAACCGTATTTGAAATGGATGCAGATATGGATGCTCTATTATATTAGTTATAATATTATGCAATTTAGAATTATATTAACACACCATAAACTCAAAATAACATGTTGTAGAACTTGATTGTACGTAGTGTTTTAGAAAGCGGACGTCTAGCCCGCCTAAGCGCCCATCTAGACCTAGGTAGTATCTAGGCCGCCCACCTAGGTCTTGAGAGCACCTAGATGAGCAAAGGTCACATAAGCGGATTGCACTGCATATAATATAAAAGCATGCACTAGCAGGTCAGTTATTATTTCTTTGTAAGCAAGGTTTTAAATGGTGGCCAACGTGTCGATTTTAGGGCTCCAACGCCCGTGATTTCATGCTTTCAAAGTCATATGGCGTTTTGAGGATAAATATCGGGACATGTTAGATATATCGGCCGATATGTTGGCCTTTAAATATTAACCGATATGCTGATTTTTAAGGCCTTACTCTTTCAGGCTTTGGATTTTAACCCAAAATCCAAGCCTGATTTACCAATTGTTACATTCCCAATTAAAAGAACTTGATAGCCAAGTCTATGGAAAAATCATGCCTTAAATATAAATTGGTCTGCTCATTCTCCTTTGCTTCTGCTCTGGGGTGAAATCAATTGGGCATTCACCGCCAAATTTTGATGTTAGATTGAGATTTTGACGATGAAGGGTAATAGGGCCTCCTTCCCTCGTTCTATCTCTCTCTTTGCTCTTTCTTCCTCTGTCTCACGTTCTATCTCTTGCAATCAAGAAGTAAATTTCTAGAATTGGTTAGTAATCTTAAACATCATATGTTAATTATATTTTGTATGTTTAGACTATAGATTTTATTAAGTATGTTTAAATATTAGGACATTCTATTATATACTCGCACACCATCTGATATGACAATCTGTGCTACATATCTGATATTTTTTCGATTTTCACAATCCAACATGGATTTTAGGTGTCTGACATGCCCCCGACATCTAACATTTAAAACATTGCTTGGAAGAAATCACCAAGACCTAAAAAATTCATACCACAAGCATGCACATTTGATCTAACCTCCAACAATCTTTATAGCATGCAATTGTAGGTTGGTTATGTGTAGAGCTATTAGATATGATGAAGCTTCCCAATGGTAAAATTTTTGCCAATGCGGATTGCACTGGTAATTGATAATTGATGTCATTAATAGTTTTTTATTTCTTAATCAGTGTCTAGTATTTTAGATATAAAAATGGTAACAAGAGAGAAAAAGGAAAAAAATGAGTAAAAAGATGATGGAGTAGACAAGGGTTTGGGGAAAGGAGAAAGAGAATGATGAAATAAAGGCAAAAGAGAAGCCGGAAGAGGAGGTTTAAGAAGATATAGTAGAAACAATTGAAGAATGGTTAGTAGTGATTTCCAAGGTTTTAAATATCGGTTATCAGGGACTTATCGGACGATCAAATCTATATCGGAGAGCGGATATTGAGGATATATCAGGGGTAAGTAGTATTTATCGGAGTGACATTACTTGGATGGTGATATAAATAGTATAATACTCTAATATGTAATCCAATCATACTTAATGAAATATAAACATACCAAAATATAAATAATTATGTTTAGGATCACTAACCAATGGTAGAAACTCGGGTCGGAAATATAAACATACCAAAATATAAATAATTATGTTTAGGATCACTAACCAATGGTAGAAACTCGGGTCGGGTCGGGTTTAAAGTGCATTGAATGTTTAGGATCACTAACCAATGGTAGAAACTCGGGTCGGGTCGGGTTTAAAGTGCATTGAATAGGTGCATGTTGCCCGAAATCAAAATTCAAATCGAAGGCCGATAATTCCAATTTTTAGGCCAACAATATCGACCGATAATTCACTTTATCACCGCATTATCGGCGATAAACATCCAAAAATAATAAACGATTTAGAACGAACTTATCATACCGGAATACCTCCAAAATCGATAAATCGCCAATAATATCAGTTTATCGGCTAATATTTAAAACATTGGTGATTTCTTACGCGATGCATCCTACACCTCTTTCGGGGCGCATTTCCAGCGCCCTGAAGCGCCCGTTGCCCTAGACGATCGCCTCAATGCGCCCGAGATAACAATGGAAATTATATTAAGAAATTAATATGAAACACTAAACTAATCATAGATACACGAAATAGTAATATTCTTTCTCCAAACCACTGTGCTAAAGTTCACCATATTATACAATCCTCTTGACGGGGAAGTGTTCTAAATTGTATCTAAGCTCAGTCTTCTGTGCCAATTTCTGCTCTGCCTTTGTTTATTCCATCCCTTTGGGTTGCTAATATTCCAAAATGGACATACTAAATGAATATATAGTTGTTCTACTTTTTATGCACAAAGATTTCAGTACTCTGACTTAATAGATTTTTCATTTCTAAATTATATAGTAATGTTTTTTTTTCTTTTTTTGGCAGATGGAAGGAATCCCATCTAAAGCAAGAACTCTACGTATGAATCTTACCATGGGGAAGCTTTATCGTATCTCTAGACATAACCGACCTGCTATTGCATGCTATAAAGATTGTTTGAGGTTAGATGTGCGTGCTTTTGGTGTGAGTTCTTTTGGTCTTGATGATTTCTTTCATCTTTCAGCTTATTTTTTCAAGGGTTTACAAGTTATTCTGTATCTTATTTGTTCTGATTTAGGATACAGATTTCCTACCACGAAAGTTGAGATGAATCTACTTGATTTATTAGTCAGTCCTTAAGAAGGAAATATATTTGAAAAAGAAATGCAAGGACTAGTAAAGGAAAGTTTTGAGAAAATTATAGCTAACTGACCTCAGCCAAATAAATTTAAAAACTTTCCCTTACAAGTCAACCACAATTCTTTGCTGGCTTATGGCAGAAAGGTCCTGGTAGGAATAGCATAGTTGCATTGCAAAGGGTGGTGATTCAAATTCAATGTTCTTGTACTTCAGGCATAGGCAATCACATTAATAGGATCATAATCATCATATATCCATGTCCCTCACCACACGGGTTCTTTACAATTGGTATTCAGGGTTGCAGGTTTGCTTTTGAGTTGATATGATCTTCGGTCTATTAGGCAAGTTTACATTTGAGTATAATGTCGGGTTTAGTAAAGTAGACAACTTTGTATGATAAGTATTTTACAAGGTCCATTTTTGAGTTTATATTGCACATTATTTGGATGGTAGATTGTAGGCATCTTTTTTGAAATAACGAGTTACCAAAATCTTCTTGAAGGATGACATCTATAAACACTAGTACTGCTATTTGTTCACTTTGATTCTTTCTTGTGATGAATGCAGATGACTGTGCGAAGAATTCCCATATCGAGATTCTATATCTACAACAGAGTCCACCAGATGTGTGTTAATCCTTTGTCTTTTTGTACCATATTCACTCATTATCTAGTTACATCTTTCCACTAGAGATCTATAGAAAATATCTTGTAACATTGACTGAGCAGGGTATATTCTCTGGCAGTTAAGGGCTTAGCACTCAGTAGTTTATGCAGCTAACTGAAGATCCAGGAATTTCCTTTTATTGAACCCAAATAGAGCACTTGCTCTACAAGTCGTATTGTTTTTCTCTACTGCAACACTGTGATGCTAACCTCACTTTCCTTTTGTATGTGGCAGAAATTGTCCTTATGTTTTGGAGGCCATTACAGCTTTGGCCGAGCTCGGATGTTCTTCAAAGGAGATCCTATCATTTCTTCCCCAGGTTTATAACAGAGCATATCATAGTTGTGCTGCGAGTATCATTTTGTTACTTTTTCTTTCTATTGAAAATGATTTGGAATGTCAACCAACCTCATGGGTTAGTTGCGTTAAATATTGATGTAAATCATATACTAAATGATGTGAGTGCAGTAAAAAAAATATACTATAGATTTCTATAAAAGGAAAGCCATCAAATACGAACAATTTATTCCTTTCCAAATTTGGGTACGTGATATAAGCCTATTGGCTAATCCGTGCTTTGCTAATTGGTACAAATACATATTCAGTGTAGTTTACTCTAATATATTTTGGGGTAAGTATACTACATAATGTTAGCTGTGGCCCTGTTCGGCTGTACAGATCTGACTGTCTATCTCTCCAACTGTCTATTCTTTACATTATTGTTATGTTAGATTGTGGACACACACAGCACGTGTGTATCAAAATGCATAGCATTTTACATGATGGTGTATAGGAAATCTTTTCTCTTGTTTATTTGTTTTATATTTGAATTGTTTATATTGAAAAGGAATGAGCAGAATGATATAGGTTTTAAAGACTACGAGAATCATTGACTGATAAATGATGGTTAAGAAGATGTCATAAAATTGTTATACTTTTGGGTTCTACGAAAACTAAAAATTTAGAAGATGGGTTTTATTTTTAAGATATAGATCAGATTCATATAGGTTTTTTTTGCTTTGCTACTCAAAGTGACGGGGCAATGTTTTAAAAATAAATAACCAGATTGTGATGAGAGAACTGTGAGTTAGAAACTTAGATGTGAGACTATAATGAAATCGTTTAATTTCAAACATCAAGATAATAGTAGAGATACTAAATGGTATAAATTGTTGGTCCTAAACCAATTATCTTTTTATATTGGTTATAGTGAATCTGAGATGTAGAATCAGCTTTAGAAGGTCATGTGTTCAAATCTCATTTTTAGTCATTCAAGTAATTTCAATTGTCTTGATTTTAATATGAATTAATGGCAAGGGGAGTCACCTGAAATAGTTTACGCAAGGCTCTCCGTACACTTTTTATAGTAAACTTCTCAATATTTATCCTGTTTGTGGAGTTTGTTACTTTTTTTAATATCTATTTCTATTTCATGGAATGGTTTTGCATTCCATGTTTCAGCAAAATGACTCATACACGTGGTCAACGATTCTACACGTGGTCATGAAATAATTCCAATTTTTCATTTTGAAACTAATAACAGTATACTATTTTTGATGAAATGCTATGTAGACTGAGAATGATTGTTCTGTAACTAATTCATTAAATTGGCATTATCAATTTAGACACCAAATAGAGGGAGGTCGTCCTTTGATCACCTGGATGCGTCTCGTTGGTTGCATGTAAGTACAAATTGATAGCCATTCTGGTATATTTCCTGCTTTATCTTCTTTATTTGCCTCACGATATTTTGTGAAATTTGATGGCTGTTTCTGCACAATAAAGGAAAGTCCTGAATATGAAGATGCTATATTTAATTTATACGTTGATTCTGGTCACATTTATTAAAGGCATTGAATCATATAATATCTTTAATAATTTCCTTAGATTCCATAGGGTGTATGATGTATTATTTTACATTTTTGCTTGTACTTTCAGTTTTTTGGCGCAGATTTTTGTTTTTTGAGGCTTT